TGGAATGTGAGTAGATGGATGTGTTGCGTCCGAGATCTGACTTTAATCAAACGATTGTTCGGCCGAGCAAGGAACCTCCTCACGGCCTAGGTTCTTTCACTACCTCGAGGTCAAGGCTTTATTTGAGCAACCAAATGATGTGGAATGGGTGGAGATGAAGATTGAAGGTGAAACGTAATGAAACGAAGAATAAGTACGTAAAGTAAAGGTGCTTAAACTTAAATATAATTTAAAGACAAATGCGTAAAGTAAAGTACGAAAGATAAATAACGTAAAGACGAGAATTAAAGTGCGATAAAATGAATCAAAGCGATAAATAAAACAAGAACGAAATGAAAGCAATAAGAACAATAAAGTAAAATGAACTTGAAATTAAACTTAATTGAAGTGCGATAACAATGAAAAGTAAACCAATTGAAATAAACTTGAATTTAAATGACAAGAAAATATAAATTGAACGAGAATTTAAACTTATACTAAGAAAATGAAGAACTCACTACACTAGGTGCATGAAAAGTAAAATCCTAAGTTTAGGAAAAGAAAAGTGCGAGACAAAAAACATGTTTGTCTGTCTGATGTTGTGACTCTTCTGTCTTTGTTTGATGAGGTTTATATAGGGCATTTGTTAGCCCATGGGCTGGCCATTGAATGGCCAAATGTCAACTCTTTTAAAACTCTTTCCTTTTGAAGCCCCTTGAATTCGTGGGATCATATTGGTGGAAATATTCTAATTACTTGATTCTCTCATGTTTTGGAATATGTTGAGCTATCATCAATCTCCTTGATTTGTTTCCTTGTGAGGCCTTCGTTACATGCACATTGACCTCCGGAAATCTTGGGCGTGAATCCGTGGCTTGGACCTTGACCTCCGAGATTTCATCTTGACATCTAGTAGAACCTCATGCCCCTTGAGTTTTTAGAATTCTAAAGTTGGCTAACCATCCACCAAGGTGGGTGGTATGGGAATTCCAAATATTTGGATATTGGGCTTGGCCCTACATTGGACTATATTTGAATTCTCAAATATTCGAATAGTAGGAAATCGGTGGACATACCTCCCGCTGAACTTCAACTCCCTTGACCCAACTTTGCTTATCCAAGTGTTGAGAGGAGGGTGCTAAGGTATGCAAGGAGAAAATTCGCCCTGGCCTAGCTTTTTGTAAGAGAAGTGGCTGAGCAAGGTATATAAGGATTGTCCAGCCCAAATTTTTGAGAAGGAAGCATTCGGCCACTTTTGCAAGGATACGCCCGACTACTTTTGTAAGGATACACCCGACCATATTTTTGAGACAGCACCATGGCTTTTGAAGAAAACACCTCGGCCGCATTTTTAAAAAGGCATCATGACCTTTGAAGAAAAGACCTCAGCCACCTTTTTCAGAAAGCACTTCGGCCGCTAGGAATTCTGCCGTTAGGAATTCTTGAAGGCTAGTAATTCTTCGGCCGCTAGAAATTCTCGGCGGCTAGTAATTCTCCGGCCGTTAGGAAATCTCGCCCACTAGAAATTCTTCGCCTGCTAGGAATCCTCGCCAACTAGGAATTCTTCGGCCGCTAGGAAATCTCGTCAGCTAGGAATTCTCCGGCCGCTAGGGATTCTTCGCCCGCTAGGAATCCTTGCACACTAGGAATTCTTCGCCCGCTAGGAATCCTCGCCCGCTAGGAATTCTCCGGCCGCTAGGAAATCTCGCCCGCTAGGAATTCTTTCCCCTCTAGGAATTCTCCGGCCGCTAGGAATTCTTCCTTGGCAAATTGGGTGAATTTTGACCACCCCGAACAGTTTTCTCTCTCTCTCTCTCTCTCTCTCTTTATTATTATTATTATTATTATTATTATTATTATTATTACAGCAAAGCAACACACAGCAACACCCAACCCAACAGCACGTCTCTTTCACTTTTAGCTTATCCCACAATGAAAACATGTTGCTTTATAGTATTGTAGCAAGAAACTCTTTTAACTCCTCAAAATACAAACAAGTAGAGAGGAAACGCAAGTCTTGAAATATACTTCCTTTCAGGCCACATACAAATACAAACAAAACATCAATAAACCAACCAACATGACATAGGCACATTTATGCTATATTCAGAAAAACGTGATGAGATAAAGTGAAGCGAAAACTAATTTGCAATAAAAGATGATACACAAATATTCTAGGTAATCAAGCTCGATGTGGCAGGTGCGAGCATGAAAAACAAGGTTGGCAGCCAAGTAAGTTTCGGTGAAGAAAGACGAGAAAGGTAAGTTGAACACCAAGTTCGACCAAAAGGTAGGATAGCCAAGTAGTTTCGGCACAAGCATGAGCTAAGGAGTGATATTCTAATTCCGTGCTTGGGCGAGAGACAGTAGGTTTTGGAACACCAAGAGATCAAGTTGGTGCCCAAGTAGATCAGATAGCCAGTGGTGGAGCGACGATAGTTCGGGCACCGAGCCCAATCTGCATCGGAGTATGCACAAATACGTGTGGGTTGTGACTGTTGACGAAGAGTTAAGCCAAAATCAAGGGTCTTTTTGATGTAGCGCAGGATTCGCTTTACGACAATCATATAAAAAGAACGAGAGGCGTTCATGTATTGTGCAATAGAGTTGACTACGAAGGCCAAGTCGGGTCTAGTGATGGTGTGGTATTGGAGACATCCCACGACCTCTCTGTATGAAGTAGGTGAAGATAACAAGTCACCCTCAGTTGCTAAAAGAGAAGATTTGGTAGTAAGATGCGTAAAGGTCGGTTTGCAGTCAAGCATGTGATGACGTTGAAGAAGGTCATGAGCATACTTAACTTGAGATAGGTGAAGACTGCCATTAGAGTGAGTGACCTGGAGGCCCAAAAAATAACTGAGGGGCCCAAGATATTTGATGTCAAATTCACTGCCTAAAGTAGAGACGAATTCTTGGAGTACCTCAGGATGGCTGCCAGCTTGCCAGTAAATACTATATCATCAACGTATAGCAACATGAATATTTGATGATGGCCATGGTGATAAACAAATAAAGAAGCATCCACTTAACTTTGGGTGAACCCAGAAGATAAGAGGAAAGTGCTAATGCGATGAAACCAAGCACGAAGAGCTTGTTTGAGACCATAGAGTGCTTTGTGGAGCTTGCAAAGGTAGGTAGGCCGGGCAGGATCCACAAACCCTGGTGCTTGGACCATATAGACATCTTCATTGAGAAAACCATGGAGAAAGACATTTTTAATGTCAAGTTGACGAAGAGACCACCCTCGAGAGATGGCAAAGCTGAGAATCGTGAGGATGATAGCAGGCTTGACAACCGGACTAAAGGTTTCTGTGTAGTCAATGCCCGATTGTTGGTGAAAACCCTTGGCGACCAAACGTGCCTTGTAGGCTCAATATGACCATCAAAGTATCGCTTAATCCGAAAAACCCATTTGCAACCAACTTGAGTGTGCAAAGGAGAAGGAGGAACAAGAGGCCACGTGTGATTTTTGAGAAGGGCATTGATTTCTTCTGTCATCGCGGTATGCCCCACATGTTTTTGGGCCTGAGAAAAACAAGTGGGTTTAGTAGTGTCAATAACAGAAAGTAATCCATGGGTAATGGGGTACTGTATGGTTCCATCGGTGCGTGTTTTGGGTTGGATGATCCCAACACGATGCCGTGTAGTCATGAGGTGAGTTGGCGCTGCCGTAGCAGGAAGAGGAAGGCAAGGATCAGGCACAGGCGGAGAAAGCTGGAAAGACAAAGATAGGTCTGTGGGCTGCACGAATGTGGAAGAAGCATGTTGCACAGAGAGTTGGGGTAAAGCCTCGGTTGAGTAAAGGCATGGGCCTGGAGCGGAATTAGGGTATGAAGTGTGAGATGTGTTAGGTGTGAAAGTTGGGCATGCGGTAGCAGATGTGCCGGTATGGGCATGAGGGCCTGTATGGGAAGTCAAAGTTAGAGAGAGAGCTGGGCTGGTAGGATGAATTGGGCCTGGAGAGGATGAGGGCCCTGGTGATCGGCAGGGGCCAGAAGGGAGGCTCGGGCCTGAAGCACGGGGATATGAGCCATAATTGGAAAGAGAAGTAAGGGGAGCTAACGGAGAAGGTGAGGCCGACAGAGCAGGCTGGGGAAAAATATCAAGTTCAACTGTTCTTGCCGAAGAGGCAACCTGCAAATTCTTAAGAGGAAAACTTAATTCATTAAATAAAATATTGCGTGAGACATAGACACGACCAGTGTTTGGATGAAGACATCGATAACCCTTGTGATAAGGACTATGGCCTAGGAAAACACATTCTAAGGAACGACTCTGGAGTTTGTTAGGAATATATAGACTAAGATGAGGAAAACAAGAACACCCAAAGACACGAAGGTGCGAGTAGGTAAGGGGACGCTGAAAGAGTATAGAATAGGGAGTGGCCCAATTTTGGATGGGGTGGGAAGTAAATTAATTAAGTGAACTGCAGTAAGAGCAGCTTCGGCCCAATAACAATGTGGAACTTGGGATGTGACTAAGAGAGTGCGAATGATGGTAACAATGTGGTGATGTTTGCGTTCAGCAAGCCCATTTTGTTGGGGCGTGTGAGGGCAAGAGAAGCGTTGTTGGATGCCATAGGTTTTGCAAAACTCAGAAAATACATGATTAACATATTTAGTTCCATTCACTTTGGAGAAATTGGATGGAAGTGTTTAAATTTTTTTTGATCATAGCCGTAAATGTTTTGAAGTGAGTGAAAACCTCAGATTTGTGTTTTATAGGGTAAATCCATGAATAGCGAGAAAAATATCAATAAATAAGACGTAATAACGGAAGCCACACATAGAAGGAATAGATGACATCTAAACGTTAGAGTGCACTAAATAAAATAAAGAGGGAGCATGATTTTGATTTGGAAAATATGGTAGTTGAGTTGACTTGCCAAGAGCACAACTCATACTAAATTCCTTATTTAAATGAAATTGAGAACCTAATTGAGGACGAAGATGAGAGAGCACTAAAGATGATGGATGACCAAGACGGTTGTGCCATGTGGAGAAGGAGATGGTGGCAAAAGCTCAAGGGACAGGAGAATCAAGAAGAGAAGACAATGACAAGGGATATAAGCCATCCTTACAGGGGCCCTGAAAGAGAAAAACACCAGTTTGTAAGTCGTAGATGCAATAAAAATTAAGGGCAAAGACAAAAAAGATAAGATTATCACGAGTGAAACGAGCAACATAAAGAAGATTTTTGGTGAGACTAGGAACACCAAAGACATTGCGAAGAGAAAATTGAGATTGACCAAGAGATAGTGGAAAGTTACCAGTGTGAGATATGGGAAGATAATCACCATTGCCCATAAAAACTGAATTATTACCAGTATAGGATTGTGGCTGTTGAAGAAATGGAAGATTGCCTGTCATGTGGTGAGTGGCTCCGGTATCGGGGTACCAATTTGGATCATGAGGTTGGAGAGTATGCGCACCTGCAAATGAAGGAAATGAGTCGGGTCTGAAAAATTTATGAGGACATTGGGCGGTAATGTGTTGATTGGTTGAACATGTGGAACACCAAGCTTGAGGTGGGGCGCCAAGAATCCCAGGTTGGTGCCACTGAGCACGGGGAGCAGATCCACGAGGGGAAAAAGGACCGGTCCATTGTTGTTGCCAAGGGGGCGTGGTACTAAGAGGAGCATGGTGTTGCCAGCGTTTGTAACCGCTGCTACGCCCACCACGATAAAAACTGCAATAGCCACCGTGATGGCCGCCACGAGAACCACCTCGCAACTGGTTGGAGGATCCGTGCTGCTGCTCGTTGGAGACATGTTTAGCAGAAGAAGCAGAGGATGAGTGAGTGGTAATAAGGGCAGTGGTGTGGCCAGTGGAGTCTAATGAGCAAGATGATTGGTTTTCAAAGGCAAGCATGTGGGAGCGAAGGTCTGTGAAACTTGGAAGAGTGAGCTGATTTAGGATGGTGGTAACCAACATAGAGAACTCATCGCCGAGACCATGGAGAACGACATTAACAAGATCTTCATCAGAGACAGGTTTGTTAATGAAAAAAAGAGCATCATCTAGTGATTTTGCATGGTTGAGATAATCATCAATGGTTTTGGATCCTTTGGACATGTCATGAAGTTGAAAACGAAGACTGGAGGCACTAGCAAGGTTACATTGAGCATAATGATTTTGTAAACACTCCCAAATGGATTTGGCAGAGTCATGACCAATGGTTAAAAAGAGAACAGTAGGGGAAAATGTTGTGGTGATGTAACTGACCACTAATTAGTCTTGTTGGTACCAAGATAGAAAATCTGGATTGAGATTGGTGACAGAGGTGGTGGTGGGACGTGTAGAAGTTGTAGTGTCTGTGGTGGTGATAAATTCAAAGGGTTGTGGATAAGAGCCATCAACATATTTCCAAAGGTCATGGCTAATTGATGAACGGTTTGATTTGGCAGAGCCAGAGAAGGTAGTTTGAGGCATCGAGTTTGATAAAGTGAATGGTGTTTGGACCGGGAAGGGAGATGGTGGAAGTGGTGGAAGTGGAAGAAGTAGAGGCCATGAGGATCGTGAGAAAAAGGCTTCAGAGGACGACAAAAGGAGTCTGATACCATGTGAAGAAAAAAACCTCAGTGTATTTTTCATTATCATGGGTACAGATTATATACAATCCGACAGAGATACAAATGGTAAGAGGACCAGGAATTATATCCAATTATAAGTAATTAGGGATTACAATAAATTACAGATATTTATCTTAATCAAGGCAATGAAGATGGAGATTGGCTGGATCGAATTATGGAGAGTTGACCGGACTGAATTGATTCACTATATAAGGAATACTTCACAAGAAAGGTATAAGGAGAAAACACAAACTTTTTTTGCTTTCACTCACTCTTTGGGCGGTTGGTTAGGGACATGACCACTTTTACTGAGTTTTCATTTAGGGTTTAGGGAAAAATATAGAAGAAACTAATTTCTCAGTGTTTTTTCCCCACGCAGCAACACTTTCACTTTGAAAAGGTCGTACAAAAAGCATGAAAAGCATCCAAGTGGAAAATGGTTTATTCTCATGCAGATTTAAGTTACTTAGTGTCGTACATTTTGGGTCTTTGGGAGCACTTGTGTTTTGAGCTTTCATTCCATTTACGGAAAAGTACCATTTATCTATGTTTTCTCTCTCGCTACCTCATCCTGCCTTTTGAGCTTTCATTCCATTTACGGAAAAGTACCATTTATCTATGTTTTCTCTCTCGCTACCTCATCCTGCCTTTTGAGCTTTCATTCCATTTACGGAAAAGTACCATTTATCTATGTTTTCTCTCTCGCTACCTCATCCTGCCTTTTGAGCTTTCATTCCATTTACGGAAAAGTACCATTTATCTATGTTTTCTCTCTCGCTACCTCATCCTGCCTTTTGAGCTTTCATTCCATTTACGGAAAAGTACCATTTATCTATGTTTTCTCTCTCGCTACCTCATCCTGCCTTTTGAGCTTTCATTCCATTTACGGAAAAGTACCATTTATCTATGTTTTCTCTCTCGCTACCTCATCCTGCCTTTTGAGCTTTCATTCCATTTACGGAAAAGTACCATTTATCTATGTTTTCTCTCTCGCTACCTCATCCTGCCTTTTGAGCTTTCATTCCATTTACGGAAAAGTACCATTTATCTATGTTTTCTCTCTCGCTACCTCATCCTGCCTTTTGAGCTTTCATTCCATTTACGGAAAAGTACCATTTATCTATGTTTTCTCTCTCGCTACCTCATCCTGCCTTTTGAGCTTTCATTCCATTTACGGAAAAGTACCATTTATCTATGTTTTCTCTCTCGCTACCTCATCCTGCCTTTTGAGCTTTCATTCCATTTACGGAAAAGTACCATTTATCTATGTTTTCTCTCTCGCTACCTCATCCTTATCATGGCATCTCCTAAACCTTATACAATATTCAATATAAACACCCCTCTCCCTCCCTTCCCTCCCCACAAGTAGGGCTCGTCAATGGGCCGGGCTGGACTACCCGGTCCAAATTTAATGGGCTAGGGCCGGGTCGGGGTGGGCTTTAAAGAGGAGAGAGAAAATACCAGGCCGGGCCGGATTTTTTTGCAAAATTCAAAGAACAAGCCCAACCCGTGGGGCCAGGCTTGAGAAAGCCCATCGAGCCGGGCCTGGCCAAAACGGGCCTACTTCATTAAAAAAAATTATAAACTTAATCATAAGGTCATTTTAGTCAAAATTTGAGATTAAACTCACTTAATTCTAATATTTTCACATCAAACAAAATTCATAAAACACCTAATAAAGTCACACAACTGAATAAGATTTTTCACAAAAATAATAAAACCAAGTATATATATATATATATATATATAAGGAATATTTCACAAGAAAGGTATAAGGAGAAAACACAAACTTTTTTTGCTTTCACTCACTCTTTGGGCGGTTGGTTAGGGACATGACCACTTTTACTGAGGTTTCATTTAGGGTTCAGGGAAAAATATAGAAGAAACTAATTTCTCAGTGTTTTTTTTCCCCACGCAGCATCACTTTCTTTGAAAAGGCAGTACAAAAAGCATGAAAATCGTCCAAGTGGAAAACGGTTTATTCTCATGTAGATTTAAGTTACTTAGTGTCGTTTTTGGGTCTTTGGGACCACTTGTGTTTTGAGCTTTCATTCCATTTACGGAAAAGTACCATTTCTCTGTGTCTTCTCTCCCGCTACCTCATCCTCATCATGGCATCTCCTAAACCTTGTACAATACGCAATATAAACACCCCTCCTTCCTCCCTTCCCTCCCCACAAGTAGGGCTCGTCAATGGGCCGGGCTAATGGGTTTGGGCCGAGTCGGGCTGGGCTTTAAAGAGGAGAGAGAAAATACCGGGCCGGGCTGAATTTTTTTGGAAAATTGAAAGCCCAAGCCGAAACCATGGGCCGGTCTTGAGAAAGCCCATCGAGCCGGGCCGGGCCTAAACGGGCCAACTTCATTAAAAAAAAAATAATAATCATAAGGTCATTTTAGTCCAAATTTGAGATTAAACTCACTTAATTCCAATATTTTCACATCAAACCAAATTCATACAACACCCAATAAAGTTACACAACTTAATAAGATTTTCCACAAAAATAATAAAACCAAGTGTATGTATATATAAGGAATACTTCACAAAAAAGGTATAAGGAGAAAAAACAAACTTTTCTTGCTTTCACTCATTCTTTGGGCGGTTGGTTAGGGACATGACCACTTTTACTGAGGTTTCATTTAGGGTTTAGGGAAAAATATCGAAGAAACTAATTTCTCAGTGTTTTTTTTCCCCATGTAACATCATTTTCACTTTGAAAAGACAGTACAAAAAGCATGAAAAGCGTCCAAGTGGAAAATGGTTTATTCTCTTGCAGATTTAAGTTACTTAGTGTCGTTTTTTGGTCTTTGGGACCACATGTCCTTGGAGCTTTCATTCCATTTATGGAAAAGTACCGTTTCTCTGTGTTTTCTCTCTCGCTACCTCATCCTCATCATGGCATCTCCTAAACCTTGTACAATACGCAATATAAACACCCCTCCTTCCTCCCTTCCCTCCCCACAAGTAGGGCTCGTCAATGGGCCGGGCTAATGGGTTTGGGCCGAGTCGGGCTGGGCTTTAAAGAGGAGAGAGAAAATACCGGGCCGGGCTGAATTTTTTTGGAAAATTGAAAGCCCAAGCCGAAACCATGGGCCGGTCTTGAGAAAGCCCATCGAGCCGGGCCGGGCCTAAACGGGCCAACTTCATTAAAAAAAAAATAATAATCATAAGGTCATTTTAGTCCAAATTTGAGATTAAACTCACTTAATTC